ATATATTTTTGCTTTGTGTTGGAGCAAAGCTTGAGGAGACAAAAGGAGAGGGAGGGAATGGATCATCTGACAACTCATTGGAAGGAAGAAACTAAAAAAATAGAATATAGCCGTCAATTATGAGCAGACAGATTTCACACTTGCTGAATCACAGAATCAGAGAAAGGTTGAGGCTGGAAGGGATCTCTAGAGATCATGAAATTCAACCCCCTGATCAGGTAGGAACATKTAGAGCACTTACATAGCTCTACATAGCTTATATAGCTCTACATTTCCTTTGCCATGCCCTTTCCAGCCCCGTACCCCATGGTGTTTTAGTCTTTCTCTCACTCTTAAGCCTAAAACTAACCCTGTCCTGAACAATAACGGTAGACCTAATCCTAAAGTGAACCCTAAGCTTGAGGTCTCCAGGTCTAGAAATTGTCGATGGTGAATATTGTTCTACCACCAAGCTGGATATAGTGTTACTTTTCCTTTGCCATGTCCTTTCTAGCTTCACTCCCCATGGGGCTCTAGGATTTCTTTCTCTCTTAACTCTAACCCTGTCTTCAACCCTATTAAGCCTGATGTCTCCAGTCCTAGTGTTTGCTTAACAACAAATATGGTTGTAGAACCAACCTGCACATAGCGCTGCATTTCCTTTGGCATGCCCCACTTCCTATAGGGCTCTAGACTTTCTCTCTTTCTTAACCCTAGTGCTAAACCTAATATTAACCCCAAGCCTGAAGTCACAAGGCCTAGAGTTCTGCCACTATGGTTCTAGCACCAGTCTGGATATAGTGCTACATTTCCTTTGGCATGCGCTTTCTAGCTCAGCACTCCATGGGGCTCTAGGATTTCTCTTTCTCTTAACCCTAAGATTATTCCTAAACATAGTCCTAATCTTGAGGTCACCAGGCCTAGATCAACAGCTAGGTCAACAGAAAATATTTCCTTTGCATCAGTTTGAATATAGTGCTACATTTGCTTTGACATGCACTTTCTACCTACACTCCCTCTGGGCCCAAGTCTGAGGTCACCAGTCCTGGTGCTTTCTGAACAGCAAATATGGTACCAGCAGCAGTTTCCATATATTGCTGCATTTCATGTGGCATGCAAGTTCATTTAATGTCAGGAAGGAAGATAATTTCAGAGTTGCTGTTGCTGTCCTGTGTTTTGTGAAACATCTTGTAGTTCTCTACTTGATACTGAAAATTATATTATTCCTCTTTTGCTTTATTCCTTGTTTTTGACTATGTTTTCTTTTTATAATTCCAACTACTACAGTTCCACATAATTATAATCAATATATATTTATTAGAATTTATTTATCATATTTTATATATATATCCGCATATATATACATATATATAAAATACCATTATTATACCAAGAGGAGTGGTAAGTTCCTCACTGAACCGAAGAAAACTACACACTCTTCCTTATATTATAGTGGTTCAGAGCTAAGTCATTTTAATAAATTTATATTACTGGTGGCTAGGACATGATTGCCACTTCTTAGATCGGATTGTTGAAACTAGTTGCCTGAGTCAATTGAAATAAATTACGAAAATTCTTCCAGGCATCAGAATGGTTATAGATTCTGTTATAGTTTTCCATGCTGTAACAGTCACTTTGTTTATTCATGGCCTAATGCCATGGACTTGACATAACTAGAGAGCCTGAATTCTTTAATTCTTTGGAAAATTCCTTAATTTCTGAAAAATATCTATGTGACCCTGTTTGAGCAGAAACATTGGACTAGATGATCTCTAGAGGTCCCTTCCAGCCCAACTCCCATCATTCTATGATTCTATGATTCTGTGATTCTGTGATTCTGTGAATTAAGAGGAAGTCACCTGTTGCTAAGAATTAGCTGGATAGAGGAAAATAAATGCATTTTTAAGGATTGGTATTAATTAAAGATTGGTTTTAGGTTCTAAATATCTTAAAAGCTGTCTCTGTGTGTCTTGCAGCAGACATTCAYGCTTTGAACGTAAAATTATGTTCACATGCTTTTACAAATAAATACAGATATGATGGGGAAGTCTTGCTGAGCAACTTTCTGAAAGGTACTTTATCTGAAGTAGCTATTATTATTATATATTTTTATGACAGATTTTCAAAAGAGATTGAACCATCTAATAACTGTTTTTCAATCTCCACACCACATAGTTTCTACCTGAGATGACCTGATTTAAAACCTTTTCTATCCAGGATCAGGAACATGCCAAGTGTCTCCTCTGGAATGCCAAGAGGATCACTGTGTTACCTCATGAGTATCTGCTAATTGGAGACATTTATTTAGTCTCCTGTCAGTCCTGGTAAACTAATCACGGAAGCAGAGTGATACTTAGAGATTGCACCAACAAGTGTCCTTGGTGTAACATTTTTTTCCAGAAAGCTAACTTTTAATTTTTGTGATTACAGCTTTGTAACTCTTTGTTGCCCCCTTGTAAAAGCACTGTTAAAATTGATATGCAAAATGAAATACAAGGCATAGAGTGCATCCAGCAATTTAAATGGACTAATTCTCCTGAGTGGTAGCACTTTCCCCAAAATGGGCAACACACTCTCTTCTTATCTGCAGTATTAAAGAATAGAAAAAACACAAGATGGTGCAGCTGCCTTTTTTTTTTCTTCTATTCTGGACTTTTGTCGTCTTCTTTAGAATGCAAAATGCAACTTTTCATATATCACTGAATAATCTGGGTGCTTATGATGGGTGACATAGTGAACATAAATAGGCATATGCCTCGTGGCCAGGTTCTGCCTTCCTTTTATTGCTAGCTAGTGTTTGATATCACACGCTTATACATATGGGTAAGGGAAGATTTATGCTTTTTCTTTATGCTGTAGTAAAGAGAAACATTCCTATTCACCACTTAAGAGGTTGTTTTGCATATACTGTTAATTACATTCTCAGTGATTCCTGGAGTAAAAATTTTAGCTTTGTTCTGCATATATTGCATAGCATGGCTATGGTTTCTCTGATACATTACTAGTGTCTCTACCTGAAGCATTTGTTAAATTATACTATGATTCTATATTTCCTTTGTGAATGTAGATGAAACAGAAACTACATAGAGTATCACTGAATGAACGTGAATGACTTCCATGTGATATTGTAAAGTCGTGGTTCCACATCCAGTGAAATGTCTTAAATATGTTAAATTAATCAAGGGCATTATCATTAGAGGATTAATTTCAGAAGACATCATCAAAATAATCAGACTTCTCATACTACATATATGCAAAAGGAAGATGAAAACCTGCATGCTTAAAATGCACCTATGTAACCACGAGCAATTTTAGTGCCCGTGCCAAGCTCGTAAGTACAGTAAGCAAAAGAAAGCTGAAAAGTATTACCCAGGCATGGTACAAATGCTATCATTGGTCACAGAAACCAAGTGGGATTTCAGCAGGTCTGTTTGACTGTTCTTTTGTCCAAAGAGCAGCATGTATCTCTTATTAGTGCATGCATCCTGACGTGACACAGGGAAACCAGCTGTGAGGCCTGGCAACTCCATTTAGCCACAGTGGCACTCCTGTTCAGGGTCATAACTCACAACGCCTACCTACAAGAACAGATAGTATAGAGGAAGCTGAAAATACCTCTTTATTTCTCTCTTCACCCTATTCCTTTGTGATGAGCGCTGTAATAGTTTGACATTACCATTAGTTGTCTTCCTCTACATCCCCAGGGGCTTTCTCTGGAGCTAGGACTTGGGAACTGAGCAGTGACCTGTAGGAGTACCTGTGATTTTGGTCAGATTTATTCATGTGCTTCTCAAAGTGGGTTCAATGGAAGTGGCAATCCAGAGAGTCCTTTGGTCTGGACTATAAAATGAATTCTTTTGAGTGCTGTGCAGTGAGGCATTGAGAAAGGATTTACACTCATTACACATCTCCACATAAAGCAGAGGAAAATCCCCATAAATTTTCTCTATCAAACTGATCGGGTGGTGGGGATCAATGCCATCTGTCCGTCCATTTGTCCATCTATTCATCCATTCAAAAAAAAGATATTTAAAAGTTTTGAGATTTTTTTCCTATATTCTTTCTTTTCCATGGAGTTTGCAGATTTTATCTGCTTGTCTCTTTTCTTCCCCCTCCCTCTTTTTTTTTTTTTATTTTATTTTTTTATTTATTACTCTGTTTATTTTATCAGGCAACAGAGAAATAAAGATTCTAGGCACTGAGTGATGGAAAGAATCACTGTGGTCAAGAACCAGAGCTCACTGAACAATGAAATCCACAACTCCCGAGTGCCCCAAAGCACAAGCTACTGCTGCAGACCTGGAGTCTAACTGCGCTAACCATGGTCCTCGAGCCAATTCCTCCATTCCCTTAGCAGTGACACGGAAGATCTTTTCCTCCATGAGCTGATGAATCCATATTTGTCCTCTTGAGACGCTTGCTCCTCTGCCAGCACTGGCCCTCTCACAACTATAGCCAAACAAACTTCAAATTCAAAACTCAGGAAAATTGACACAAAGAAGGGCGGAGGACCACAGATTGTCTGGTGAAGGAACATGTGGCCTATACAAGATGGATAGAAGGGTTGTGTTTATTATGTATTGGTTATTTTTCAGCAAATAGCTCTACGTTTTTCTAGCCAATAGTAAATAGAGCTGAAATTCCCATTTCCTTTTCATCCCGGTATGATATCCCAAGACTGCAATTGCCTCGCAATCTGTCAGTCCCAACACAGGGATGCTAAATGGAGCTAAAGAGCTTTTCAAATCTCAGTATAAATTATCCTTTTGGAGTTGGACCAATGAAAATCTTCTGTGCTCACATGCTGACATGCTGTGAGCATTTATGGTGACTCACCCTCCAGCTTTAATGGCACCTTGACAATAAGTAATCTCAGCTACAAGCTGCTTGAGGACTATTACTTGCTCTCCCTATTTCCATTTCACTCTTAGCAACAGTTTTGTAAAACATCCTCTGTTTCACTATTGCCTGAGGCCTGATGGGGCTTTGGACTGAGTRCAGTAGAGAGGGCTGTGCCTCACCTCGCCTTGGTGTGGCCATTCCAGCAGTCCTCCTCATTTGACGAACCAGCTGTCACGCGCTCATCTTTGCAGATTGTGTACGGTAACGTTGACCAGAACTTTTTAGAGAGCTTTAGTTTTTCTTTAATGTCTGTTACCTGATTAAGAGATAATGAGAGGGGAAAAAAAGGTTAAAGACATCAGCTACATTAACTATCCTTTTGGATACTAGATTGTTTAATTCCATAGTAAATGATGGTGAAGGTTAAAGGGACTGGAGGTGCCAAAGCTTAAATTCCTGTAATTACAAGCAAGGCACAGTGCATTTGGCTGCAGAGACTGCGAATACTCAAAATCACTTTCAGTGCACTGTTCAACAGGCAAGACATTAATAAAAAGAGTGTATTACATCTTGTTCTTTCTATTCTCCATTTGTCTGAGTTTTTCTAAATATATATCTTTCAAAGAATTAATATGCCTGTTAGTCTGCCTAATGTTAACTCAGTTAAACAGCATTCATCAGATAAAATGTCTCACCCACAAACTCAGTTATGTCTTAGATAAATATTATATTTAGATATACATGTGCAGTGCCAAAATGATGTTGAACTGATTTCATATACGTGGTCTGAAAAAGTTGCAATACATTTGGAATTCAGGAACCGTGAGAAGCCTGGGTATATACAAGCATACAGAGACTATATTCATCTTTGCTCTTAGATGTAGATAAATACCTGTTGTTAGATACAGACTTCACTTTCAAGAAATGGTGATCCAGAATAGAAACAATTCCTTTAAGTTATGTACTCTTTATTGAAAAATAAATTAATCTGAGATGTATTAGGCAGCAAACAGGAGCAAACTGAATTTGCAGCACCAGTTAAATAAATGCTCTGCCTAAAATAATACCAGTTTTTGTTTTGCATTTGTTTTATTATAGTGGAAAAATCTACAAGAATAGATAGAAAACACAACAAAGCATAGACTACAAAGGATGAATGTTACCACGGTTGTTCTTATGGAAACAGATGCATTTCACATTAAGTTGTAACAGAATTTAGGGGAACTCACTGAATAGCTTTCAAAGGAAATCACTGAGCTTTATTCTTTAAAAAACAAGAAATAAAAGCTCTCCATTGTTCCATTCAGTTTTAAGATGGGCTTTTAGGTTGTTGAGGTACAATATTGTGCTTGGCTATTTATCTCTTTTATCTTTTGTTCTGAAGACATGATAGCTCTCAGAGTAAATGGTCCACACTGCTTTGCAGTGCTTAAACTCTGTGGAATGTCACTTTATATGCCAGGAGAGGAAAACATCCAAGGATGCTATTTCAAGAAGCACAATGCGCATTTTCATCTCCGAAAAATAAGTTGGATAGCTTTTCACTGCATGAACTGTTGACAGTGTTTCTTGCTGCGATAGAAATCTTATAAATCTCCTCCACATCCCTTGCCAAGCCTCAGTTGCTTGGTTTTCATATCACAGATACTAGCAGCATTTGCAAGCCTTTAAAGTTTCAATACGAGCAACCTGTCAAGCCAAAAATTAAATCCCTATTTACAGATGCTAGGCAAGCCTTGAGCAGCAATGGACATGGTACTAGGATATCTGCCTTTTCTGGTTTCTTTGGTCCATGGGAACAGGGTCTCTGGGCAGAAGGCAGACAAGAGACTCTCCTATTTCCCCCTCCAGTTTAGCATAAGAGAAAAAGCTGAGGGTCACTAGTGATGCAGCTAATTAACACAAGYACCTAAGGAACACTGCCAGGTATCCACAGATACCTAAATTTACTAGACAAGTAAACTCTTGTTAGGTCATAAGAGAAGCAGAAGTCCTGTTCAAGATACTAAATGAATAAGGAAAAGAGTTTATAGGAAAGAGGCTCCATTCACATAAGCTCATGGAACATGAGGGCCAACAGGACACATATTCTTATTTATTACCCATGCTGGGGTAAGTATTTACATGAGTAATCTAGGTCATATCATTGGCAAATAACTTTCTGACCAGCAACTTTGTTGCTATCTGGAAGTTGGTTTAAGCTGTTCAAAACTCAGATGTTGATAGTTATTTTCACATTTCTACTGTAATCAAATTAGAGCTGGTGCTCTAGGACTGCAGACTACTGTTTTGAACCACAAGTGAGTCAACACATTCTCCCCCACCTCCTCAGTCCTCCAAAAGGCTGTAATTTGGAGTACAAGCCTTTTATTTTCCTAGAATTCAGTGAAAGCATCAAGAGAGGTTCTCACAGTCCAGGGGCTGTACAAGCTCACCAGAAATTCCCTCTGATAATTAAAAGAAGACTCCAACTCCACAGATACTTTTGAAGATTCTAGGATATGTTTACACACTTTATGTGTCTGTTGCATATAGACAACGAATCATTAAATTTCCTAACATTTTTTTTTCTGCATTAAAGAAATAAAAAGCAATAAGGTCAGGATCCATGTCAAATCATAGTTAATCAAATCTCAAACATCCCCATGAATTCTCATTTCCATTTTGTAGACTGGTGTGGGGGAACATTTATATGACACACAAAGCAGCAACAGCAATGGTTACAGCTGTGTGTGGTTACTCTCTGCAGACTTTTCTAGTTGCCTCCAATCCAGGTGCATTTTTAGCATTTTTTTTTATCCACCTCATATATTTCCCCTTCTCCTTCTACTGCTTTATTTCACTAATTTTAAACGACTCGTAGAATGAGCTTGAAAAGCTTTGTTCCTTCCTCTCTGTTGYTGGACTTCTGTTAACCCTCTCAACTTTTGGTAGTAGTCTTTATGTATCTACCGCAACCATTCCTTGAATCTCGTCTCAACTTGGTTTTCTGGAAATTCAGTGTCACTTCTTATGGCCTTGAAGAGGTGTTACAAGTGAGTACCCATTGATTCAACTCATCTTTGAGCTAAGTGACAAAGCTCCTCTCCCAAGGGAGTAGGCTGATGGTCATGCTCACTTGTCTACTATGAACAGTCAGGCAGGCAAAGACTTTTAAGTATTTTTATACAACTTTAAATGCAGAACGGAATTAGATGACATAATGCCTGCCACGATACCATGCTATGTAACACTTTAGCCCATGTTCTTCAGTGGCTTCAATTCTGGGATCACCTCAAACATAGCCATAGAAAGTCTTTTATTAGTCCCCGCAGCTATGCATGCTCCATAGTATAATGCTTTGATCATCACTAGCATTTTAAAAAAATATGTAACAGATGTACAATCCCTTGAAAATGAGGTAAAAACCACTAAAGTTTCAGTTAACATCGCTTGCTTGTGATTTATGAAGCCAAACTACTCTATCCCCCCTGGTGATCTGCGGCCTTGTAAACGATTCCTTGGTATTTCCTATTCTTTGAATTAAAGATTAACTTTAAAGTTAGGTTAGAGTTCTGTGGAAACATTCAAACAAAAGACCTATGCAATTTTGATGTTTTACATATTTTGTTTCCACTTTCCCTGGCACAGATTTACTCAGATTAAGAGAAACAGATCTCTTTGGCTGCAGTTATCCTGACAGTTCCCAGCTATCCTGCTTAAGCAGCCCAAGCTGTACTTTGAAGAAGTCCCTTAGATATTACTTTGAAGGTACTAAATTTGTTCTGCTTTGCAATATTATCTCTCATGATAAAAGGGGCATACAAAAGTACCATTCAAAGAGTTATATTTTTAATTTGTTGGATAAATGGAGATTAAAATTAAATACATGAGAATAGGTGAGAACATTTGCATAATTTCTAAAGGGAAAATGATATCCAGAGTCATAGAAGCACCATAGTTATCTGGCCTACTTTTTATGTCTGTCATTGACTTCTTAAAGTGGCTTGGAATAGTCACTTATGTAATTTCTCAGCGGACCTCACGAATTCACTTCTAATCCTATCAATTTTAAGAGGTAAATAAAGTTGACCAACTTTTCTGACTTCTTTATCTACTTTGCATTCAAACAAGAGAAAGAAAATGAGCTAAAAAGGAAACCCATCATTTTAGCATAAAATCTAATCCTGGAATCCCTTATAGAGATTTAAGAAGCCCGTAAAAATTAAAGAGACACCAGAAAAATAGGAAAAACATTGAAAAACCCCCCCAAACATGCAGAACTGAGAATGAGATGGTGAAATATTATAGGGTAGGAAAGGTCCAAAAAAGACACTCGATTCTGAAGTGGGCAGCCATGAGATCTTATCTAGTTTAATTTCCTATGGAAACTTGCTTTTTCAGCAGAGGGACAATATGACCCGAGAAGCAATGTGGACCCAAACCCAAATTTTAGAGGTGAAATATTTATTTTCTAAAGTAAATTCCCTTATCTTCTCCTACATCCTCTGGCCTTTGGTTCACCTCACAGTCCAACCTAATTTTGCCATTCACGCCAATATAATCTCTACTCTCACATATACTCACAGGGATATCAGAAGCAACTAACATAGTGTTCAAAGATGATAGAATGTGTCTCATCTGACCCTGTTTCAATGCAATAAATGTAATAAAATTATACTGAATCTTGCTTGTGTTTAGAATAAATGTTAATATCAACTGTATTTTCTTCTTCACAGCATTTTTGCATCAACACTCCTTTTATTTATTTTGCAAGTTTGGAAAGATTTTCTCTTTGAATGTAAGCAGGATACTCGGGTTGCCTTTCTGTCGATACCTTCTCTCTGGGGATGCTCAGAAACATTTTGATGCAAAATCCTGATAAGGGATAAGTCTTTGTGGCCTGGAACCATGTACAAATGTTTCTTGCTGCTCCCTGAGGTACCGGGGTGCCACTCAGGATAAAGTGTGGTGGGTAGGTATGTAGCAGTGCAGATGCTCAGATGGTTAGGTGGATATTTGTGAGGAGGCACTGTCATTTTGGAGAGTCCAGGCCCACACGTGACCTGCATTTTGCTGGTATATCACAAACAGAATTGCGACATTGAGCAAGCAGAAAAAGGTGCTGGGATTGTCATGGGGAAAGGACCAAAAGTTCTCGCCATTGACAGCTAGATTCATATGTTAATAGCATCTTTCATCAAATACTCCTTTAGCCTTTAAGGCACAAGCAACATTTAACTGGTACCACTTGTTCATGCTACATTATCTCCAAGTGAAAAAAACAGTGTTCTTGTGCCTGCTGCAGGGATTTTCTCCTTGCTCTGCCTGAGACGT